CCCCCAAAAAAAAAATAAAATAAAATAAAGGAATCATCTTTTGCCAACACCAAGCGAGTCTGTAAATATTTGATCACCTAATTCACGAGCACATCTTTGATGATCTCTATCTCCGTATGCAGGTTTGAAGCGACAAGACAAATACGCAGTCTAGAAAACATATACAACGAAAAAGTCGATTCTGGTGAGTTACTTCCCAGCATGTCTACTAAAGTGGCTCATTGGCACACCCCAATATTAGCAATGACAGCAGATGTAATTCAAGCAACAAATGAAGAGTGCATGAAGTGCGGGATGGATGATTATGTATCGAAACCGTTTGAAGAAGGACAACTTTATTCAGCAGTGGCACGCTTCTTTGAGTCAGGTTGATTAGGACGTTGTTTACCGTGCAGCGGCGTCATTTGAGGTCCAGACTGATGGTTTAGTTAACTTGTTTCCGGGATAAAGGGCCTAAGTTATTTGGATATCTAACGGATTCCTCTGTTGGTAGCAGAGGACGGAGTTTTGGCCAGTCAGATGTCTGACAGCCGATTCCCACTGTTGCTGCTGGATGATTTAGCAGCTCATCCGAAAAACATCTACTCTTCCCTTTTGTGGTAACTTCCTGCCTCTTTATCAAATAAATGGACTTTCTTCCTTTGCATCTTAAACATTAGTTATATCAAATGAAATGTCTTCTTCCTTCGTGAAGCTTTTCTACTTTGTATAGATTGATTTGTAGCCCTTTATATTGAAGTAAACATCTGTTTAGGACCCCATTCCTTTGTAGATTTGTTATGCAAAAGCTTTCAACTCCTCTGGAAATGCATGAAAAAAGACAGGAATTCGATGGTGTGCTTGTATACATATTTCGGTGATACTTACTCGACCCATGCACATGTACTGACGTCCATTCATTTGCAGGAATGATGGCTAACAACCAGTAGGTACGGAAAATAATGCATGGATACTCCTGGACTGCAACCAATCGCTGACAAAGACTATTCTATCATACGGCAACTCCCACGTGAAGGCAATAACAGAAGAAACTTTGTTCTGCATATGTATATTACACCTTTTTTCTGTGAAGTTCCTGAGACTTGAAGCCAGTTTGCTAACTCCGTTGAAGCAGGTTCGTGCCAAAATGCTCATTTTCCTCTGTAGGTCCCGAGATGTATCCTGTATTTCAGGTGATCTCATAGAAAACGATGTAAATAGCGTAGAAGTTTGAGAAGGGCAGCTTCAGGTATGCAAGCCATGAGAGTTAATTATAGTTGGTTTTTTCATTCTGAACCATTTTTTTCCCTTTAATTTCACCCGAGTAGGGAGTTGAGTTTAGGAAGTAAATTGTGGCTATTATGAGATCAGGTTAGATTAGGCTCTACAATGAAAATTCTTTGTTGATGATTAGGTTTTTCTACTTGTATAAGTGTTCTGTAATGAGTCAAGTATAGTGAAAGCTGTAGATTGTATAATATTCTGTAAATAAAGGTGCTGAATATAGGTTGAGCTTGGTGTTGTAAGTGAAATAGTTTGAACTGTTGAATACTAAAATGTGACATATCTTTTGGTGTGAATATGAATTCTTTGCATTGTAATGATTCAGTTTCTTGAAGAAGGAGAAGAAAGATTAGGTTTATGTAATGGTTGCCTACGATTGTGAACTAATATACATACAATATTTCAGAAGATTGACAGAATCGGAACTTCAATTTGTTTCAAAATTTCCATTTTGATGGCCTGAAAATAATTATATCATTTAACGGGTGAGAAGACGTATATAATAAGCTGGTTGTAATAATCTGGATAGTGGATTATATACACAGGCGAGGTCAGGGTGTCAATGGATATCGATTAAACCAACTGAATCATACTGTACCGAGCCAATTTTTTAGTTTTCTTTTAAAAAATTTATAGGTTTTTATATAAATCTATAGCCGTACCGATAATTAGGGTAGGTATTTTATTTTTTGAAAATAGATTGAAAAAATATCGAACCGTACCGAATAAATTTACACGTGAAAATTATATTTATATATTAAGTTTAAAAAATAATAAATCATTAAATTTTTCTTTGGGCCTTGGAATTATGAAAACGGTTACACGGCAACAAGTTATTAAACTCAAGATCCTCATTCCCAAACCTATTATGTTACTCCTACTTAAACTAAATTATTTCCGGCATATTCACTAGAAAGTCACAAAGTATTCTAGCGATTATGAGTTGCAAATTACAATATACTCCCTCCGGTCCACAATAAGTGACCAATTTGCTTTTTTATTTTGGTCCAAAACAAGTGTCCAGTTATATAATCAAGAAAAAGTTCATTTTTTTCTTCAAAATTACCTTTATGTACGTATCCCTAAAAAGTCATTTACTCCTCACATTTGATAAGAGAAGTGTTACTATAACTATGCTGCAATATTTAATTAAGGGTAGTTTAGTCACACTAACTATTTTTATTTAGAATTTAGTATTTCCTTAATGGGTGTTTCCAAAACAAATTGGTCACTTATTGTGGACCGGAGGGAGTATTAAATATGTTTCGTTCTGTATGATTTAGATTTATCTTTTTGAATATTTAATCTTCGATAGACTTTATTCTTGAGTCCCAACTTGGTTAATATCTTTCCACTCAGTTTTTTTGTTTGTTTGGTCTTTGCTTCGTTTCTTTTAAGTTGTTGTAGTTGATGGATCTATACTCTGACCATCTTTCATGTTCTTAATTAATCACCTTTTAAATAGTAAAAATATCTAAACAATTTTGCTAAGTCTTATAAAAGTATATATATGTTATTACATTCTACTTCTAGTAGTGACTTTTACATCGAACCGTACCGTGATTGAGACGATTTCGAAAAATCTAATTTTGGTTATATATAATAAAATAATCGAAAAATTGATATGATAAATTTTATAAAATAACTAACTAAACCGAACCATTGACACCCTAGATGAGAGTCTATCAAAAGTAACTCTTGTATCTTTATAAATTAGGGATACAATTTGCATATATATTACCCTTTCCAAACTTCACTCGTAAAATTATATGGATTTGTGTGTTGTTTATGGGCAAGCAGCTCCAAAGTACTGATGCATCGATCTAAAAGTAATATATTTGACTTGCCTTTAACAACTGTAACCTTATCTGTAATAAAGTTGATATGTTCGATTATTTAACTTGGGATAAAGTAATTAGTCTAAAACTCTTATGGAAGAAAGATTGTTTTAATGTTAGGAATAAGAGAAATCAAGAAAAACTCCCAAATCGTACATGATAATGCTTGCAGTTTTTTCCCCTTTCTTTTTGTTGTGATATTTCCAAAAAATTGGACAAATATTGACATTCTTGCATGAGAAACTGAAGATAAATGTTGTACATTTGTCATACTCTAAGCTTTTCTTTTTACCTATAAATAGACCTTCAAAATAGCCATCAAGTATCAACACATTTTGTTTTGCCTCTTTTGTTTCTCTCAGCTTCCTTTTCTTTCCTCCTTAAAACATTTGTAGTCTACTTTGTTTGTTCCCCCTTTTAAATAGCTGGGTTTTTAATTTAATATTTGCTGATTCCTGTATCCTCTAAATAAAATAGAGGTAAGCTTGTTTAATCCTGGAGAAATATTTTACACTGCTGAAATAGTTTCTTAAGACAGTGCCCAGCACGACTCAAGCTAATTCGTGTATCTACTTACAAAGAATATTGAAACAATGCTATTGTTATTTTTTGGTGTCATTTCCCTACAATTTAAGAAACTATGGCAAAAAACACTGATGCTGAAAATACTACTGATACCGTCAATATTGGCGTTACGTCCGTTGCTCCAGCCCCAGTTGCACTGCCATATGCCAGGCCATTTCCAGATGTATCAAATATTGAAATATTCGCCAATAAAAATTTCACGCGTTGGCAAGAACGTATTTTCTCACTGCTTGATGTCCATGGTGTTGCACTGGCACTGCTGCATCCACAACCTAGTGCAGACGTTGATAATAAAATAGTGGAATCCTGGCAACACGCCAACAAGGTATGCCGTCATACCATATTGCAAACTATTTCTAATGAACTGTTTGACGTGTATTGTAGTTATAAAGAAGCAAAAGCTATATGGGAAGCCTTAATTAAAAAAAATTACTGCTGAAGATGCTACAAAACAAAAATTTATAGTAGGAAAATTTTATCAGTGGCAGTGAGAGATGATAAAGAGATGAACGTACAAATCAACGAATTTCAAAAATTGTTAGAAGACTTGAAGGCCGAGGGGATGTCTTTACCAGAGAAGTTTGTTGCTGGAGTGCTAATTGAGAAGCTGCCTGACTCATGGAGTGACTACAAAAATAACTTAAAGCACAAACAGAAAAATTTCACCATTGAGGAAATTGTGACCCACATCCTAATTGAAGATTCCAACAGAAAAGAATCTGCCAAAGCTAGGATGACAGTTCTTAAAGCAAACTTAGTGCAAAACAGCAACAACAACCACAAAAGGTACGAGAATAAGTTTCAAGGTTGCAAGCCTAAAAATTCTAACCTTAAAAGGAAAAAGGGCTCTTGCTTTGCTTGTGGAAAACCAGGCCATCATGTCTCACAGTGCAGGTACAAAGCAAGAAATGACAAAGAAAAAACTAATACTCCTAAGGCTAACTTAGCTTAAGGAGGTGATATTATAACAACAGTCATTTCTCAAGTAAATATTGTAGCACATGCAAAAGAATGGGTGATAGACTCTGGGGCTACTCGACACATTTGTGCAAATCGAGAAGCATTTTCCTCTTATACTCCTATAGAGGATGATAGAGAAGAGGTCTGCCTTGGAGACTCAAGTACTACCAAAGTCTTGGGTAAGGGTAAAGTTCTCCTGAAACTAACTTCGAGAAAAACATTAGCGCTTGTTGATGTACTGCATGTTCCTACTATGAGGGCAAACTTGATCTCTGTATCCATATTGGGAAGAGTCGGAGTCAAAGTGTCATTTGAATCTGATAAGATCATAATGACCAAAAATAATGTGTTTGTGGGAAAAGGCTATTGTAACCAAGGACTCTTTGTACTTAATAATTCTAATGTTATCAATGAAAATGTATCTGCTTTTGCTTATATGGTTGAGTCTATCTCTTTATGGCATGCTAGATTAGGACACATTAATATCGCATATATAAAAAAATGCAGTCACTCTGGATTAATATTTAGTTTAGACTCAAATAATATTGACAAGTGTGAAATATGTGTTGAAGCCAAAAGTACTAGAAAAACATGTTTTTCTTTAAATAAAGAAACTGAATTGTTATCTTTATTTCACACTGGTTTAGGCGACTTGAAACAGACTATGACTAGAGGTGGTAAAAAATATTATGTGGCTTTTATTGATGATTTTTCTAGATATACTAAGTTGTATTTGCTTAGAAATAAAGATGATGCATTTAATGTTTTTATTTCTTATAAAACTAAGGTTGAAAATCAACTTAGTAGAAAAATTAAGAGAATTAGATCAGATAGAGGTGGAGAATATTTATCTTTAAATGAATTTTGTGAAAATAATGGAATTATTCATGAAGTAACTCTGCCTTATTAACCTAAGTCAAATGGAGTAGATGAAAGAAAAAATAGAACATTGAAAGAGATGATGAACTCTATGTTAGTTAGTTCTAATGCTCCTGATAATTTGTGGGGTGAAGCTATTTTATCTACATGTTACTTACAAAATAGAATACCGCATAGAAGAACCGGCAAAATACCTTATGAATTATGGAAAGGTTATAAACCTAACTTGAAATATTTGAAAGTGTGGGGGTGCCTTGCTAAAGTTCTTTTGCCTGAACCTAAAAAGAGAAAAATAAGTTCTAAAACTGCTGATTGCATGCTTATTGGATATGCTAAACATAGTGCTGCATATAGATTTCTTCTTTTAAAAAGTGATGTGCTTGATTGCAATACTATAATTGAAACAAAGAATGCTGAGCTCTTTGAATATATTTATACACTGTCTGACAAAATTCCTCATACACCTATTGAAACAAATAGAGAAATTACCTCTAATGAGGAACTCAGAAGGAGTAAAAGGCCTAGGAAAGAATATTTTTCTTATGGAAATGATTTCCAGACTTTTCTTGTCGATAATGAACCATCAAATTATTTTGAAGCTATATCTTTCTCAGATGCTAAATATTGGAAAGAGGCAATAAAAATTGAGATTGATTATATTAAGAAAAATAATACATGGATTTTAACTGATTTACCTCCTGGTGCAAAACCTATTGGTTGTAAATGGATTTCAAAAAGAAATTTAATCTTGATAGATCTTTAGATAAATATAAAGCTCGGTTAGTAGCAAAAGAATTTTCTCAAAAACAAAATATAGATTATTTTGATACATTTGCACCAGTGACTAGAATTTCTCCTATTCGAGTTTTAATTGCCTTAGCTTCAATCCGTAAGCTTTTTATCCATCAAATGGATGTCAAACCAGCTTTTTAAAATGGTGATTTAGAAGAAGAAATTTATATGGTTCAACCTGAAAGTTGTGTCATTCCTGGACAAGAAAATAAAGTTTATAAATTAATTAAATCTCTTTATGGCC